CAATAACTAAAATTGTAAATCAAATACATCAAAATATTGATAACAGAATCCCTTCAATCTGCATTTTTGTTGATTTAAAGAAAGCTTTCGACACAGTTAATCACAAATTATTATTAGAAGCATTGGAGAGAATTGGTTTCAGAGGAAACGCGTACTCACTGATCGAAAGTTATTTGTCAAATCGCCCACAATCTGTGCAGATATCAGGATCATTTAGTAAAGAAATGTATATTAAGTGTGGTGTCCCACAAGGAACTGTCTTAGGTCCGCTGTTATTCAATATACATATATTTAAATGATATTTTCCAAATTAATTGTGTTGGCAAAATAACTAGTTTTGCAGATGATACTGTAATATTATATGAAGGCACTGACTGGTCTGATCTGAAAAATGTAATTGAAAATGATTTTATCAAAATTATTCGGTGGTTTAACAGTAGAAAATTAAGCATTAACTACTCTAAAACACATTTTTTACCATTTGGATCTTATGCTAGACATCTGCCAAATTACACAAATTTCTCCTTCAATATTAATGATCAAAAAATGCAAATTAATAGAGTGCCCAACATAAAATACCTTGGAGTGGTCTTGGATCCTCACTTACGATGGGACATCCATGTCAATTATATTTTAAAGAAAGTTAGATTTGTATCCTACAAAATTAAATACCTTGGGAATATATTGACAGAAAAATATCTTCGAACATTATACCATGCACTGATTGAGCCTCATCTCACATATGGTATATTAGCATGGGGAGCTGCATGTTCCTCACATATCTATAATTTAGATGTTTTTCAAAAAAGTATTCTAAAAATGATATTTAAAAAACCGAAACTTTATCCCACTGAAAAATTATACGCAGATGTTCGAATGTATGATATAAGACAGCTTTATTTCTTACACAGTATCACTCACTACCATAAATTTGTAAACACCGACCAAAAAATTAAACATAATCATTATACCAGGTACAAAATTCGTGGCACAGTAGTTCCTCAACCGCATAAATCTATAATGCAGCGATCATATCTCTATTTAGCGCCTAAATTTTATGAAATTATACCTAAAGACCTAAAAGATTTACGTTTCGGAAATTGTTTCAAAAGAAATTTAAAAAAGTGGCTACATTCTATATCTAGGACTGAAATTCATAAACTCATAAATATGAACATCAACTAAATACATAATCTACTGTAGCTAATTTTTGTCCTTTTTTGTCATTTGCATTCTACAGTTTCAACTTAAATTTATTGGTCCATGTACAGGCGATGCCTTCTATTGGGCCTGTTTTGATTTTATATTTATTTACTCATATTGTTTGTTATCTTTGTACATTGAGTGAATAAATATTATTATTACTATTATTATTATTACTTATAGGAGTTTTACAATAGCAGTGTAATAGATTGCAAATATCTCGAAAATAAGCGTTTTTGGGATAGATAACGCTGTATAAAGTTACGATAATTTTACGAACTTATAAAAATAGGGAGTTTTCATTTGAAAAAATCGACTTTGGTCAATTGCAAATGCAAATTTTTCGACCACCCTGCATAAACAATCATCAAAATATCATACAAGGTCTACCAAACTATACCCCTGTTTACCAGAAAATCAATCCACATTAAACAATAAGGTGATCTACATAGGGGAAATGAACAATTATTTTAGGGCCTGCGAACGTTAGACTTGCGTATAGGAGATTATTGATGAAATGTGATTAGAATTTTATGTAGAATCCGAATATTGAGTAATACACAGGGTATCCAATTTAAAATAGGCAAGGTGGCATCAACTTCCGGTATAACCGGAAGTGCCACCATCTTGAAAATATGTTAGCTGCCGTTGGCCCATCGACACTAGCATACGCAAAAATTTTCAAAAATATCATATGCCTACTTTTCGAGAAATCAATCGATGGAGTTCCCGATGCGACACCCTGTATAGAGAAAAAGTTAGAATAATCATGGAAAGCAGGTTACCTAAAAAGATTATCGCGAATAGTGGTCAGTTTTTGTCACTCTAGGGCGGCATAGCTATTTTGATATCAAAATGAAATATGGTGTTGGAATTGCTGTTAGCCTGCAGGTTATGGTAGTGGTAGTAACTGTGGTTGCTTTATGGAAAGCCGGCATACACATGATGCTAGATTAAATTGACATTACTGGAGGCTACAGGCGGATATTTGTTGCTTAGCTAATGGACTTCCACACTGTGTGAAAAAGGAAAGAGGTTTAGAAGACACGACGAGGAAAGGAACCACAGGAATCATAAGTGGGATGATAAGCAGGATGCAACATGCCCGACTATCTTGTATGCTTCAGCTCACGTTATCGTGGAAACATCTAGTAATCGCAAGCAGCCAAGGTCATAGTACTTAGGCCGCATTTGGCCCCTTGTACGTCCTTCGCAGAACCGTTCAGGTCTGGATCGTCAGAAAGCCCAGACTAATGAAAAAGGTGGTCATCCAACCCAGCGGAGTTTCCCTTACGCTGGCCATAGAAGGGCAGCATTTCTCAGTCGCAAAGCAAGTGCTTGGCTATCTCATCTTCCTGTTAACATACATACATACAGTCACATGTTATAGAGATGCTTCCTAAGCTGATAGTTTCCAGTTGCAATACTCGTTTTTCGTACATTATACTTTATGTTTTCAGTACAGCAAAGTTGTCCCTCTGGATGAAGTTATCGACCAACGTTCATATTTACGCGTCACTGGCAACACTACAACTGCGTTACTTATCTGACACCATGACCTGGGGCTTGATGTTGGCTTATTAAGATGAGGCTCAAAGAGAAGCGACACCTCATAATACAGGATTAAATTGACCTTGTTGGATATTTGTGCCTAGCTCAGGGTGTTTCTCAACACTAGCAGAAGATTTTTAGGAATGCACAGAAAGTAAAGAGAAGCGACACCTCATAATACAGGATTAAATTGACTTTGTTGGATATTTGTGCCTAGCTCAGGGTGTTTCTCAACACTAGCAGAAGATTTTTAGGAATGCACAGAAAGTAAAGGAACTACGATAATAAAAAATGGTACCTTAAGTGGGATGTAACATGAACATATCCTTCGCACGTTTCTGATCATCGTGTATCCCCAGAATACCCACGTTTTTAATTTCTGTTCTTATTGTAGATCGGTAGAGTGGGCAATTTCTATAGATTCTCCACAAACAAGAATATTTACGTTTCTCCTGACAAACCTAACAACCTTATTGTTTGTATACCATTATTTATGTGACGCAGCTATACGGAAACATTCTCGAATAAGAGCGTTATCTCCTGCTGCTGGATTAAATTGATATTGCTGGAACTTTACTCATGAGTTATAAGGGAATGTTTATTGCTTTATAGAAGGAGCTGGCATACGATTTGTTCTGATCCAAAATTACCTCATCACTGGTCAGGATGCAAGTGCCACTACCAATCGGCAATTCGTATTCATCTGCTAAAACATAAAAGTAAGTAGGCTTCCGCACAGTCCTAGTGTTACAGGCAATTGCAAAAGAATGTTGAATTTAAAAAAAGATTTTTGGATCTCAACCCACTAATTTTTTTTATTACGATTACTTTAGAGAATTTTTATACCAGGCTGTGCTGACCACAGTAACAGAATTGACTTCAAAACTTGAGGCATCCTGGAGTATTCGAGCGGTTAGTTTTTAGAGGTTGGAAAAATGACAAGATAGGTCATGCATAACAGTCAATGGTGCTCACTTCATTGATATCTCAAATGTAAATTATCATTTAACGTCAATCCATAAAGTGTTATTTTCTGATATCTACGAAAACTTACCCTCCTCCATTATAAGTGCAATAAGACTAAAAAAAACAGAAGAGAGCGAATAACAAATATACCATTTACAAATTACCACCAGTTAGCCAACCTTTTTGGCAAATTGGCGCAGTGGTCGTACTTAATCGTCTACCACTACAGGGTGTCAAAGTCAGACGTGTGAAGGAGTTTTAATAATAATTCAGATATCGGCATGACTTTTATGTAGGTTTATCGCCACCTCAAGGAAAAATAATACGTATTGACGAGATAAAATGCTTAACTCAGAGTGTTTTAAAACTGCAGCTTTTTAGAAAAAAATTGGGCGCTGGATATCTCGAAAACTATGACTTCTACTGAAGCAAAATTTTACCATGTAATAGGCCATGACGTGACCTATCTATAGTTAGGGGTCGTTGAAGTATTACGTAAGCAGATTTATTACAATTATTTACTCCCCCATCCCCCTTGTCAGCAAAAGTAAGCAAAACCCTTACCCCCTCCCCCCATGCTTACGTAAACAATTGTCAATTAATGTATTGTTATTTTTTAATATTATAATTATAACGTTATAATTATAATTTGAAAAATAAGAAAATAGATTTAGGGTAGAGATTATATTTTTATATTTTACTGATACGGCATTCAAAATAGAGTAAAGGATATTATATCTTACTAACATAACAAACTTATTTTAAATTTTTAGGACATATATTAAATTCAAATTAACAGTCTTCAGTCCATGAAACCCGAATCCATGATTCTAAGTTTTCGATGACATTGGATTACTTCGATCGCTGCTCAGTGTTGTGAGTTTGCTCATTTTCATCGGATTTTGGAATGTCTACGTCGTTCTCATCGAGCCATTCAACATCATGGTGCTCTAAATTTTGAATAATGCACATCAGTTCATTAGCACGACGAGCAGCGACTCTTATACGTCTAACTTTCCTATCAGTGTGCGTGTTTACTTTTTTATGGATATTTTCGATGTGACGATTTAGTGACTTGACGGAAGCATGATAAAAACCACACGTTTTGCATGTTCGACTTGATAGCCTCAATTTTACTGTCGGACAAAAATATTCGTAGGACCTTTGCAGGATATCTTTGAGTGATGGACGTAAGCGTAGAGCTAAATTGACTGGAAGATTAAGAAATTGCCCTGCTTCATCCAAAACCAAGTCATCAACTGTTTGTTTTACTTTTACAGGTGGTGGAATAAACATATTGTCTAGTAATCTAAATAGGCCACTTCTTGGACGACAGCATTCTGTATTTCTACATTTTATAATTTGAAGCAAGTATTGGCTCTCACGCACATGCTCTGAATACCATTTAATATCTGGAAAATCAGGAAGATCTTGTTCACCTGCCCCAACATATTTTGCATTAACACTATAGCCATCAATTTCCATTGAACTCCATACTTCAGCTAATACATTTCCTGCAAATTCGAAATTAGATCTTTCTAAATGTTCATCAATTGTAACGCCACGTTCATCCAAATGAGACCCAAAATGGCCATGAGGCAATATTAATCCAGCCAGTTCCCGCCTAAGAGGAGCCATTCTGCGCTCTACTCTGTTATACGCACTTCTTCCAGGAGCATTGGTAGCTAAAATCAATGCATCGAGATCATGTAGCGTAAAGTGTTGTATACCCTATGACTTTTTGAAAACGTGGATTTTCGTCTGGCCCTCCATCAACCGTCATGATTTTCCACTGTTTTTATTAGTCTATGGTCAGTTTTAGCTAATGGTCGAAACTCTTCAAGTTCGAGAAGCGCTCGAAATCCTGAGCATGAGTATTAGCAGTAGGTGAACTATGCTTTCCTACTTCGAATAGCGATGTATGTCGGTCCAGAATATCCAACGGCTTGCGGTTGTCCTGGCATATTCGAAGTGATTTTGATACTAGCATAAACAGATGGTATTAATTTATGACGCTCAGCGATTACCCAATCGTGATCAGGCAATGATTCTATATTCCATGTGAATTAGAAGATATGCTTGCTTATTTGCCGCAGTTACGCCAATAGGGACTCGAGCTTTGTCATCTTGAGATACGAAAAATACTTGATCTGGTCCAAGTATGGATGCTATGTTCTCTAAATAAGGGATTGATGTTTCAGCGAACTTGCTATCTAAGTGGCTCTTGTTGTGATCAGTTTGAGCCAGAATGAGCTTAACAGGGACTGTCGATACATGTCTTCGTCCCTCTGCCGAATTAGATTGTCTGGGAATCAAACGACTAATGTCAAATCCTATTTTACGTAATTATTGTGTGAGTTCATCAAAAGTTTTTACGCTGCGAATTGATTCCGTTCGTCTTCTATCATCTGCTGCACTCCCAAATAAAGCTATATTCGCGATTGTTTTCAATAGTGAATGTTGATTGCTTTCAAGATTAGGACGTCTTTTTTTATTTCTGGATTTTCATGACAAATATCTTCTAACTTTTTTTTCATACCATCCCTGTGTTTCTTCGGGGCAACTGCGTTTTGAACCTTCCTGTTTAAAGACTGTTTTGGTGTTTTTATTTCCTCGCGCAACTTAATGATCTGTTTATCAACTTCAGCATGGCTTGGCATAGTATCTCTGGCAGAATACAAAGCATTCAGATTTTTTTCGAGTAGAGCAGTCTTAATTTTCATAGCTTCCTGAGAAGGTTTTGCTCTCTGTTTTCATATTTCATTAATTTCGCATTGCTGTTGTGATTCATTCCCGGGTTTTATGTTATCTTCTTCCTCTTTTTTAATATTTGAAGCTGACTGTACAATTTGTGTTTTTTCTGCAGGTTTACAGGTTGCCTAAAAATAAAAACTTTATATGGCTTCTGCTAAAGATTCTCTTATTAAGCTACATAAATACAAAGTATGGCAATATATATGGTAAATAGAAAATATGGCTTTAAATCTAATATGTTTAAACGAGCAATTCGTTCCGGTCACAAAATACAGGGTGTTAGTTTTCTGTATATATGTATAAAACTAACATCCTGTACTTTGTGACCAATTGACGGAATCAGTCATAAGAAATAAATCTATAATATAATAAATATTACCTCTATACTTTGAGATAGGCCATAATATTTTCTAATCAGTAAAGAGAAACTTTTTGGCGATTTCTAATATACTAAGTGACATATAAATCCGAACACCCAGTCTAACTGGTTTTATTTTAATAAAATTTTGTATAAGTACTTAATGAAGCATAATAAGTAAATGATAGAAATTTCAAAATGATTGCACTGCTTTAAAGCCCTTTGACCTTTAATAATGTGTGGATGCACCCTGATGTGCTACGCATTCTCCAACGCGCCTAGGCATGCTTCTGATCAGGTGGTCAATGTCCTCCTGTGGTATCTCATTCCTGGCAACAACCAACTCCTCTCGAAGTGCTTCTAGAGTCTGAGGAGGACGTTGCAAATTGAGCAATCTCCTACCCATCATATCCCACACGTGCTCAATTGGGGATAAGTCGGGAGATCTTGGTGGCCATGGTAACAATGTGACATCATTATGTTGAAAGAAGTCTATTGTAACTCTTGCAACATGTGGTCGGGCATTATCTTGTTGGGAAAAGATGGGGTTCTAGAACTTCGTGGATATAACGCTGCGCGTTCATGTTACCTCTGATGAAGATTAAAGGTGACCTGGAACCATGAGCTATAGCACCCCAAACCATAACTCCAACAGTGTGATGAACATGTCTTTCAACAAAAAACCTTCTAACCCTGGCCCGACCATCGTGTATGCCTAAACAAAATCGAGACTCGTCACTAAAGACAATACTGTTCCATTCCTGATCCCAGAGTGACCGTTGTCTGCACCACTCACGGCGATTACGTCGGTGTTCTCGAGTTAAAGGGAGGACCCAGTGTGGCCGGTAGTGGAGAAACGGTCTCTTAAGGCCAATAATCTTAGGTGGCGATCTTCACGGTCTGTTGTTCTACGGCGGCGTCCAGTGCCCCTTGCTCTTTGCGTACGGCCTTCTCCAAGCCATGCCTGACAACACCAAACCACAGTGTCTACACTTCTTTGCACTCTAACTGCAATTGCCCGAAAAGAAAGTCTAGCTTTCCGAAGTCCCACTATATGGCCACTGTCAAACTCACTAAGTTGACGAAATCGTACAGGTCTCCGTACTCTAGGCATCGTAACCGATCGTAAAGGATGTCAAGAACCAAAATCCGCCAACGTTGATTCTTTACTGCGGCTGAAATATTCATTTTTAGAGCGTTAGTGAATTTAAAAAAAAGCAGTATAAAAACCGGAATGTCCAACTGATAAGGCTGAAAATTTTTTCACTTGTTATTTACAGTAAGATAAATACATACACCAACTTTTATTAAAATAAAACCATTTAAACTGGGTGTTCGGATTTATATGTCACTTAGTATATTTCTAGTACTCATAGGTACCTAAAATGATTTCGTCACTCACCTTAGAAAAAAAATTTAGTAGATTTGATTTATTCTTAGTCGCCGCTTGCAATTCTTTTTCGATTCTCTTAGATACAATAATATCCAGTTCCTTGTCGGATTTTGTTTGTAATTTATAATTTCGCCACACTTCGTTAACTAACTTTTGTACATTTTGTACTTTCGTACTTGTATGAGATTTTTTAAAACTCTCAAACGATTTTTGGTATAACTTGGATTTGTCTATGTAAAACGACATCTTATTTAAACATTAAACTTTGGCTAATGGAATCAATGTTAACACAAATGTTAACTTGCTTTACTATGCTTACAATACGTCTACTCGCTATAGTATCCAAACAAGACAATACACTGATAGAGGATATATAGACAAGTGAACACCGCGCGGTAATTCCCCTACTCGGTTCTAAAGCGACTAGGGGAGTTACCGCGCGCTGTTCACTAAACGTATGCATTATTTGCGGGAATCCCCGAAAATGCGTTTTGTTTTCAAGCAAAGACAATGTAAGGGTTGCCATTCGTGTAAAAAAAGTAAATAATTACCGATGACGTAATCATCATCTAGACTCCCCTACCCCCCATGTCATCCAAAATAAGCAAAGCAAAGACCCCCCCTCGCCCCCCATGGTGTTCACGTAATACTTGAACGGCCCCTTACAGGATTATCCTTTTTTATCCCCAATTTCGGCACACCAGAATAGTGTCTATACTCAAAGATGTAGCGTCAACTGATGGAGATGGAGGATATCGCTACTAGTGTAGTTTGCGATTATGATATTATTCAATATCAGGATACTACAGAGCAAGCGTTAAACCTTAACCAAGACATGTCGAAATATTGCTAGATCTCAAAAATGATGTGAGGACATCGCTACGGAAAATGGACCCAAAGAAACGACGCACTTTGAAACATGACAACATATGGGCGTTGAGGTTCGTCTTGGCATAAATGAAATCAGAGTATGTCAAGTTTGGAACCAAATAATAAATTAATATCCTGGTAATTAGTATCGTGGTGGCATGAATACAGGAGCTTATGCTGGCAGTAATGAACGACTGCCTAAAAGAGGAAAGGTTTACAAACGACGAAAAGAAAACTGATTACGACCTCGGTTACATCGAGCTTCTTGGGAAGGCTTTCAGGTCGACTTATAGGGGAAAACTGGAAGATTATGTCGACAGGGTGAAGCGTCTGTTTTCGGAAGCATGGGTTTAGGGAGTGTTGCGTTCTAATTTTGGTGTAAAGATGGGTGCTGGTTAGAATATGAATTAGGAATCCATTTCTTCATTAAGAGTTAAACAGTAAAACAGTTGCCAGTTTTTAAAATCACTTTGTTGTGCGAGCTACACAGATCATCAAGAGTGTTGGACGCGCTGTATAAATCCGTCTAGAGGTACGTTATATACGTTTGTGAACAAAAAATCTTTATATATTTAGCGAGCAAAACACGCAAAAAACTGTTGAGATAAAAATGTGTTTGGATTGTTATACTCAGTGTGTCAGGTCAGTATGCAACCTTCAACCGACGGTGAAGGGTCGCGCGTATAGAGGTAACGAACCCGTATAATCGATTGCGTTTCAAAAAAAAATAATAATGGCACACTCATACACCAATAATGAACTCGTTGATATGTTGTTAATTTATGGTGAATGTCTCCAAAATGCTACAGAATCGGGTCATGTGGAGGAATTTCGAGGTGGGCACAGTGGGAGGCCTAGACAACCACGAATGGTGCAAGTTGAGGAAGAACTACTGAATCGCGTAGACGAGAATCCCT